TGACTTCCGCTCAGGTTGTCGAAACGTCAGTCACCAACAACAGTTCTTTCCAGAACTACCCTCACCCGGACGATCACACTATACGAACTACTGATACTCCAGGGTTCAAACCATTTACGAAGCCCTTAATATTGTCGTCAGAAACTAAAAAAAAATCTATCACTATCATTCTGTGTTCAGAAACCGAATGAAGTTGGTTTCCGTCTGAAGCCCTTTTGTTTTGAAAAAATGTAAGTTAGCGGTAGTGAGAATCCGAAAAATGACACATTTTTTCAACCTTAAAGTCACTTTCAGTTAAATTCCCCTTGCGTATGTGCTAACCGAACTGTGAAGTTTGGGCACTTTCTAACAACAGAAAAGCTATTTTCCACTGGCTTAAAAATGATTTACAATTCTAAAGAAACTACTCAAATTCGCGAAACTTACAATTACGAAGAGGTTGTTGCTTTTGCAATAGAAACACCATTTAGGCTACCATCGTTTACGTTAAGGACGTTCGCCCCCAAATGTTCCAACATTGATTTTTTTTTTTCTGAGACTTTTACCACTGTAAGATGATGAGAACACCCTAAATCTGAAAAAAAGCGGGCTTCGTTAGCGAATAAGGCCATAGTGTCTGTCAGCCCAAAAATATTGCAATTAGATCTTTGAAGTGAAATGTTCTCTGCCACATATTGTTTAAGTGAATTTAGACAACTGGTGAGGTTCCTTAAAGAACAAGTTCGCATTAAGCAACCATAGTTTCACGAGCCTTGCAGCCGCAAGATGGCAGGATTCGATGTCCCGTGGACAGAAATCTTGGAATTTTTTTAACACCCCACATTAAGTTTTTGTTCATTTTTGGACAATGTGGAAATAATTGTAAATAAAATCTGTTTCTGGAAAGAAAAGTAGGGGTTACCGAACGTCCAAGATCGTTAAATCCAGGCAAAGCTATAGCAATGGCCATCTGCCCTATCATTCTTCATTTTATTACTTAGCGCGCGCTCTCATGCATGACGTGGCGTGGGAATTTCTCTGCGCAGTAAGGATGCGCAGAAAACAATTAGCGCGAACGTCCTTAAAATTTATCGTGTAGTATAACTGCAAATTTTCAGAATTCCCATTAAACAACACATTTAAAGAAGATTTATTCACCCCATCCGGGGAATAAATGATTTTACGCTGCTTGTTAGTGCCACTCTCCCATCAATTGGCTGGGGGTCATCCGGGTCTTAGAGAATCCAATATTTAAGCATACATGGCCAGGTTACTGTCCTCTTTTCCAAAACTCTAGCTTCCCACGCAGTTCGCAATTTCCCACCCACCCACCCACCCTTTAGATAGACAGGGGGGATTTCAAATGTTTGGTGATTGCGGGTACTCCCTCACCTTTGCTGGGAATGTTTTTCGGAGTAAAAAGTTAATTTTTATAGAAATAAACGGCCACCTCGGTGGCCAAAAAATGGCGTATCATACTTTGTCATTTCTTCCCAGCAAACTTCGCGCAGCCACTGCATTGTGTAGTAAATGAATCTCAAGTTTGTGCAATAACATAGAGCTTAAACATTGATTTGATTTTAAAAAGTCATAGCTAAGATTTGGCTTTGGGTTATTCAAAGGCAACTCATCCTCTACGGTATGGAGGTGCAGCAAATATTTTGAAGTACATGCATTAAGACACTCATTCAGTGGCACAACATTACTCCACCCTGAAATCAAACAAAGCAGCTTGTAAACCAATATTCTTTTGTTTCGTCTTCTTTTATAGTCTCGTTCTCTTGAAAACCGAGTTCCACAAGTCTAGGAAAGACCTTCTTTTGGCCTTTAACTACTTTAACAAGAGTGACCGTGAGATTTTCAAATTAGCATGCGCATTGTGTTATCTGACAATCTCTTTCTCAGAAGCTTTGAAGCGACAACACGAATGCTTTCGGGACGAGATCATTATCAAGACTGTTTCCGTGACTCAAAACTCTACTACACAGACTTAATTCAAATTTATGAATAAATTATGCGATGTCGAGTGATCTGATATATCTCAAAACAAGCCCAGATAGGAATCGTACATTTCGGAATGGCTAAACTTATCGACCTATATACTTTAAAAACGGAATATTGACTTCTTTTAAAAGCATTAAGAGCATGCGCATGAAAAATATCAAGCTGAACCAGGCAGGAGGTTCGAGTCTGCGCTGCGCTTTAAGTCTGATAATTATAGGACATGATCCAGTGGATTTCATTTCAACGTGGCCTTTCTTCTTTTAGAAATAGTAAACCAAAGAAAGCTAGTTAAATATGCATAAATAGGCGTTAAATGGCCATTTTGCAGGGGGTCCTCTTAAAGGGCCTTAGTCAGCCACACCTTGGTTTTTGTTTACATGCGAAAGTTTGACTATTATACTTTATTCGGAGCATGTTGAAACGAAGGAAATCACTGTGAAACTACTAAAGATAATTGTACAGCTTTCAGGTACACAACTTAATTACAGTAAAACAATAAAATTTCGTTTCACCATGCAATATTAATAATTTCAATGGCATCGAAGATGGCGGAGGCTAACTAGGGTCCTTTACGGGTTAGCGTTTCAAATATTTTGACCGTCTATTTTTTCCATAATCATTCGCTTACCAAACCCAACTAAATCTGTGATTTGAGTTGTATCAGCCCCTGCCTGGTTCCCTCATGGACAAACTAGCGCCCAAGCTCAAGATTCAAACTTTGAAAACTGTGAATCTTTTAAAAATCTAACAACAATACCTTGTAAAAAACTGGGGTCGTTGAATTGTAAAACATCAATTGGTTTAGCTTTCTTACAAAGGTAAAGTAAATACGAAGCATATTTTCCAGTCATTTGAGGACTTCTTCTTCAAATAAAATAAAAAATCGCATTATTTGAAATCTATGACAACCAAACGAGCAAAATTTGGCATTTTATAAAATGGATTCCAAGGGACTTTTTTTGATAAAGTTTGGGGGACCTCGATTTTTCTTTCTATCACCTCAATCGATCCATGGTATTTATAGAAAGTTGCTCTTAAAAAAAAAATAACTTATCTGTATTTTGCAATACAAGCTAACCATAAAAAATTCACGACGTTTCGACCTCTCCGAGGTCATTTTTAAGCACAAGTAAAAATATATAAAATTAGCATAAATATTTTTCTAACATTAAAAATACTTTAAAATTTCACAAACGGTAGAATGCAGTAAATCTGTAAGATACGTGAATAAAAATAATTACAGTGTGGTTGATTTTGTGATTCAATTCGCCCAATTAAATTCTTTGTTTAGATCAGTTCTTTTAAGCTTATTAGTATTGTTTTATTGTCTGATTGTTTTAGGTCCCCTTTTTTATCACTTAACTTACGTTTTTTATTGCATTCTACCGTTCACCACATTTTTAAGCATTTTAATTGTCAGAAACATATTTATGCTAATTTTATATATATTTATCGCACTTGAAAACGACCTAGGAGAGGTCGAAACGTCGTGACTTTTTATCGTTATTTTTTATTGCAAAATCGATCTCAAAGAAATTACTCATCGAGATTTTCTCTGTTTGCCTAAAAATATAGGGATAGTTTCATTTACTGATGGGAGCAACAAGAGTGGAATGTTGAAATGAAGGTGCAAATTACTACGAAGAAACTCGTCAACTGCCCGACAGCTATCCGTAGTATTTCCATGATGGCTTGAGATCACCCGCATCCTTCAAACGCTAATATAGCAAAAGACTTCGGTTATCTTTAGCCCGAGAGGTCTTTTTTCAAAGATCAACCGGGTTTCGAACATTCACGGATCGAGTTCGTTCGAAAATCACTTTAGTACTTTCGCAGTTTCTAAAGAAATTAAACCCGACGATTGCCGAAGATGGCCGGAATGTGTCTGAAGTTTTTCCATTGCAAACACACTGGATATTGTTCATACGACGCATGGAAGACAGAGGGTTCTGCCCAGTCGAGCTGAGGCGAGTAAGTAGTCAATCAATGCATAGCCCAAAAGTGTACATAGTCTCTCTTTTTTTGTTTCAAATAAACTGTTTTTTTGAAACAATCTAGGGCCCGTAAAGAAATGCTTGCGAGATTACAAACTGTAAAGCTATACCCAAGCAACGAAATGACATGATGTACGCCTAATTAGCCTTGATCTATAAGCTGTCGACTTGCTTTGATCAAACTACATGGCTATGACTCTGAAATACAGCCGAAATATTGTAACAATCTTTTTGCATTGTAATAAACCAAAACTTGGTTTTCAACGATGTTACAATCCTCGGACTCGTCTTGTTTATGTTACATTCAAACCTGTGGGATAATGCTGTATTCTTAGCCAAACTTATAGCCAAACTTATAAATTTTTCGCGAGATGTTTCATAGAAAAGTGTAGCGAATATCCACTGGAATTTCCATGGGAAATGAGATGACCTTCATTGAGTGTTCCTTTGACAATTTGTTTTGATTTCACCGGGTAGAAATAAATTAATATTCTGTGTATTTATACGCACGAAAATCTTTGCCCTTAGTGTAACATAAACACAAACAATTTAAACAAAGAAAATAATGGCAATGCTTCCAGGAAGTAAAAAAAATTTCAATGCAAACAGTGGTACAGCTGTCACGTACGCCTATTATGCTTTTCAATTGCTTTTCATTCCTCTTCACCACGCCAAACCATTTAACTGGAAATACATAAAGTCCAGGGCAATCCTAATTGTTGCTTATGAACAGCTCCAATTGGGTTTGCTTTTAGCAGGTAAAGGAGCTACGCAACGGTTTGAGCGTTTTGAATATTTAACCTAAAGTTCGTCGTTTGCAATCCATGTTAATCTTAACCATCCTTAACCATCCCCTTTCCTTTATGGTTTATTATTATCTCTTTGGTGTTTTTCTATCATAGTAAACTACTATTTTCAGGTTTCCTTTATTTCAAAGGTACATTTGTACGTGGACAATGTAACTCAAAATGCCGTGGTTGATCCCTGTTACATAACTATCTATCATATACACTTACCAAATACACCAGTGCCTGAATCCAAATCACCATCTTTGGGTACGTCTCCCCGCAAAATTTAAGACCACGATCAATTCTTCTTCAGACTTGTAAGATCGTTTGGAGTATCTAGCTACGACAGCCGCATGCTACACATCAACTTAGCAAAGCTTGCTGCATCTTTGAACTGTGGAAAGTCGAGGCTTTGACTTGAAGTATAGACTTCCGGAACATTTTGATAACGGTTTCATTCATCAATAGAAACTCAAGTTGCCTAATTTTGCTACCAATATAATTCTGATCTCTAGTACGTGGAAAAATCTTCCGCCTTGTCAATATACAGATGTCAAGGTTGGTGGCCTTTCTGGATTCTGTAAAAACTCCTTACGATATCATATTGATTTAAAGTTTCATCACGTTTTAAGATGGCAGAAACCTGGTACAAACATACCCCCAAAACACACATACAAAAAATAAGACCATCACCTGGGTGTTTGTTTTACCTTCCTTTGTAGTGTTAGAATTATGAAAGGTTATTTGTCACCTAATATCAGTTAATGTATGCGGTTTCAAGAGGTCGGTTTTTGAAGGTTGATAAGGCAAAAACAAAATGAGTCCTATTAATTATCGAACCTTTTAATTAATAGAAAGGGAAAAAGGGAAGGCAAGTAAAGTCGGCTAAACTGAGAGAAGGCGGTAAAGATTCAAACCGTTAAAAAGAAAAAAACAAAACAAAACAAAACAAAGCGAACGCTGTTTAGTATTGGACCTGAGAAAGGCAAAAACAAAGTATTTGTGTGCACTTTTCAGTATTAATATGTGCGTGAACAACAAACGATTCGCGACATGATACCTCATATTACTTGTAGAAAAATTGATTAATGGCGCAACAATCCGGCACGAGAGGAAAGGAATCTAAATAATATTACCACAGTCATTTAACTCATGTCTAAAGCAAACTAAACCAGACGAACACAGTACCAAAAGGTAAACAGTCTGTATGAGATTAATTGGCATGTCGGATGTTTTTATTTATTACAAATAGTTCCCTATTAGATGTCTTTAGAAGCGCAAAACTGAAAGTTTTATATATTGCATACTGTTGTTTCCTAAACGTCATTCCACTGCAAAGACAGTTGCAACTGCACAATGTTCCACATATTGTCTTCCTACAGTCGTTTTTATATAGGAATCCAGATGTCGCTGATGAAACTCGTGTTTCCCCACAGCAAGCTAGTGAGATATCGTACTTACAATGAATGTTACACACAGTTTCTAGGAGCCTTGCACTGACTCAATATATGCTTGAAAAAATACACTGAAATTATCATAAACATTGACACCCTGTTTTCGTATCCTTAGGACGCTGAAGAAATGAGACCAAACAGCTTACAGAAAATTCCGTTCTTGTTGCTTGCGGGCATGATACTGTGTGGAGTCAATGAAGGTAAGTTTGTAATACCTCGTTCACAGCAAAATATACATAACCAAAAAATTATTGAGATTGGGAATAACGTAATCTCCGCAAAACAATGAAGTAACGTCCAACGGACATCTATTAAACAAAAAACATATATTATATGATACAGCTGTATAGGAATATCAGAATGTGGGGCGGTTATAAAAAGGAGTTTCACGCCTTTTCTTTTTATCCCTACATTTTTAATACCACTCCCTCCTCTGATAATGCCTTTTCTCTCTCTAGCAAAATACTATTACCCAATTGTAAGTTTCTGCAAGCTTTGCGATATCGCTTGCTGGCGTGATGCTATGAAGACGGTTTTTATATTGTTTTCACGGATGCGAAATGTTAAGTAGCCGGTCGCTAGGTGTGAGCTGTTATCAAAAACATCAATAAAGCAAACGGAAATTTCAATCGTAATCTGTACTAAAAATTGACTTGTAGATGAACCCATTAAAAATTATTGTCTCTTTACGCTGCCAAAGATGAAATAATTCAAGGTCATTTTATCTCAAATAGTGACCGTCTGTTAAGCCGCTGTGTATAACTTCTGGTCAATATTAACGATTAAAAATAACAGAAGAAGCAAAACTATTGTAGCTAGTATTGTAGCCAAGAAAAAAGCAGCAAAAAAGAAACCGTTTGCTGTATTAGAAGTTGTTCTTTATTCTTGCATAACTAGAAGCTCAAGAACCAATTTCCGGTGTACAAGTGCTATACGCAATATCACATAAGACACATATGAGTGGAATGTCTTTTATCTCAGTAGTTTTCCTGTGCACGTATACGTTCCATTACCACACCAACAGCACGTACCTCGATTAGCCGCCCTCTTAGATGAGAATACCGTTAAGATCCTGGGGACGAGCCTAACTGTGTTTCATACAAACTTTCTGTGCTCAGTTAAGGACGTTCGCGCCCAAATCTTCTCATGTTTGTAACTTTTGCTGTACTCAGATAATGACCAATTTATGTCCGAATTACAAAACAAAAGAATGGGGAAAAAATGGGGGTGGGGCGCCTACTTGTTTTGAATGTAAAGCTTTTTGAAAACCGTGCGATTTCAGTAAGCTTTGGTCAGATAACGTAACATTTGCTCAATTGCTTTCCGCGAAGAATAAAGTAGAATGGAGATCTCTAGATAAGGCTGCGTGTGTTTACTTCACCACAATATTTTCCAAGGTATATCACTCTGTCACTTGGCTCTACAGAAGCCGGATATTTGTGTGTCGTGCACATCCGAATTAGCAGAAAAAGTCGATTGCAGGAGAGTAAAAAGGCGAAATATTTGACCTTCGCACGTTCGTATTGTTTGACTTTTTTTGCTTGTTGTTAAAATGCAGAGAATCAGTTATTTAAGTGATATTTGAGAAAAAAAAAAATGGGCTCAACAACGTAACAACTTTTCGACAAGTGCAAACTGCAGGCGAAGTTAACGCAATCGCTACTAAGCCTTCAATTTGTTTATATTTCTTCCCTAGGGCGAAAGCTCGATGCATTAAAATTTTTGTTTTGAGCCGTATGTCAAACAAACGCAGTTGCTATAGCAATGTCATATGACATGGAGAAACAATTCGCACATCGAGATGTTTAAAACGAATAAGTAAATAGCTAAAAAAAAAAAAAGTCCAGGATCACAGTGTAAAGTCCCTTTCCGAAATTGTCCAAGATCATTGGGGGGTGGCGGGGGATGACATTCAGCCCCCCTCCTTTTAGGCTCGAGAGTAGTGATAATCGAAAGATCGATTTCACGCATGAAAGTTATAATTGACGCTTTTAACTGTTGCCGTAAACGCGAAAACAAATGGTAGCGCATAATAGATTTCTCTACATCGCCTCAATTAGACATTTTCTCTTTTTTTTTTTTGTATTCAGCACTCGGTTTCTTTGAAAACTCAATTTGCATTGGTGATTGTACTCTGGGGATTATGCAAATGACAGTATAACAAAATTCACCTGTGTTCCACCCCATCACTCTATTCGGGGCCGCGACAATGAAGAGGTTGGCGACCCGCCCTCCCACCCAACGAGTAAGTCGGGCTTGATCTAGCTGTCCGCTTATATTTTTATCCTGTCTTGTACTTGTCCCAGGCCATGTAGAGCGATATTACCATGTCATTAATAACAATACCCAGGGCAAAGGCAGACCACTCTATGCGACTCACGTGTGGTGTGTTTCGCCTTCCTGGGCCGTCTGAATCATCTTTTTACGTGGGATTCCAAGTGCTTATTGGTAGATTTGAAACGGCCTGCGTGCCTTGAATTCCTTTGGTCGCTGACTTTGGCACCGATCATATTGAGAAAGCTATATTCCCGATTTCAACATCGATTTTCTCAGAAAATGTTGCAGGGATGAAGCTCAAATTCGGTGAAGAGATAGGGAGAAATCTCATTAATCAACAACCGTCGCCATTCAGGTGATATTTTCGGTATGTTGGCGGTAATTCCAGTTTGAAGTGGAGAGGGTCGAGGCTGGCGGCCGCCAAGTTGCAAGCCTTGTCTCCCTCTCTTGTCTTACCGGTCTCCGGCCAAAAGTAATTGCGCAAAAAGACGCTTTAGACGGCCCAGGAGAGTCGATTAACGTTTCATTTAACTTTATTGGGATATTCAGACCGAGATGTAATTTTAGATATGCAATTTTCAGAGCTTCATTCATAAACCTCACAGATTCTGTTCGTTTCATATTTATTAACCACGAACACATAGAGTGGTCTGCCTGTACACTCAGTACATCTTAAAGTTTTCGATTCTTTGCCCTAGCTTTGCAGTTGGAAATACAAGCATTTCAGCCAGCGGTTGTTCCTATACGAGCAATCACCACTCTGACGCTTAAAACTGACAGGGAACTGAACGTGACGTCAAACACCTCTCTTCAATGCCGGTTCAAGGAGATCTCGGTGCCGGCCAGAATGGAAGACGGTTTTATCTTTTGTGACACACCACCGATACGTAACACCGACAGAGTCTCGGTTCATCTTGATGTTGACGGGAAGCTGTTTAAAACTAAGAAGCCACTGTACTTTTATGGTGAGTGGTGACAACATCGTTACGATTTAGATGTGACAAATGAACTGTAGACACTTGTTTGTGTGATTTAAGCATGCCAAATTAAAGCTTAATCTAAACATCTACTCAGTTCTGTTCTAATTCCATATCAGTTATCCTTATCGAGCTTTTTTGGTCTTCTAAATCAATACCTAAAAGTAAACACGCACATCCGCGTCGTATCATATATTTGTCCGTTCTGAAGGAGAGACGGAGGGAGGGGGAGGGGTGATGCAGGCAGGGAGGGAGGGAGGGCATTTTGGTGTGATCGTTTCAATCGAAATAAGTTCCTTCAATGCAAACAAAGAGTTTAACCCACCTCGAGTTACCACTATATAACCCAATTTAGTATACCTCCGCTCGCGTTCTATCACGAATGCCGCTCTCTGATTGGTTTCGCTACTCACTATCTATTCTGCTGTGAGTAACCTAACAGTGTGCATTTGTTAACAAAATGACGTCCTCTTCTTTACGATTTCGAAGTGTCTGTGAAGAGGATTTAGCCAAAGCTTTAAACGACTAGTAGATTTAATTTCTACTAAAATAAAAAGATTATTCGCTCGCGATTTCTATAAGCGATAGAAAACTCGAGCGAATATCTTAATTGTTCAATAAAACATACCCTCACTTTCCTTCCAGAACCATTCAAAGTAACTAATATCACTCCACCAGTTGTCTCACCGGCTCAAAACGTCTTCTTGACCGTCAGCGGTATCTCTTGCAAAGAATGGATGCAGTACTTCGTCAGATTTCAGACTGGGAACGGGACGAAGAAGACCCAGCAGGGGATCTGTAAGGATTCTATTGTCTCATGCTACGTGTCTGAGTTTCCACCCAATACTCGACTCCGAGTTGGCTTGACCTTGAGCAATAGACTTGTGCAGTGGGCCGACAAAAAGATTCTTATTCAGTGTAAGTAATAAGTATTTGGGTCACGAATTAGCGATATAAGTATTTTAAATACTTCCTTTATACTTGTTATCTGTTTTACACCCCGAGTAACAAAAACGACACCAATAATTGTATTTTTCACTTCCCAGGAAACTCCCCACCAAAATTTCCAAGTCAGTGGGTATCCCGATATCGCTTTCAAATTTCAATCTGGTATACAGTAAATTACTTGTGGTTGAAAAAATAACGGAAAATCCAGAACATGCATTGTACAAATTTAAAAAAAAAAAACATGAAAAAATAGAACGTGCGACAAGTTGTATGTAAATACGTCTATATTTATGACAACAGAATGTCTCTATAAATTAAATTGATAAAATTATATAGCAATCTCTTTAGAGAAAGGTTTAAAAGGTATTTTTGGAGATCTGTTTGTGGGAGATGTTTGGAACATATTATCGCGTATGCACTCGGGCGGAATTTTCTGAGACCTGACATCAATTTTATTTTGTTCGACTTAGCGCAATATTTGATCAATTCAAGCTCTTATGTTACAGTTATGGCTCTTGTCAACAAACAAACATTCTCTCAGAAAATGTTCACCAAATCGGTTATCGACTGGTAAAACTAAGACAGTCAAGTTCAACGGAATAAATCAAAAGGTTGTTTCGGATGAATTAGACAGAAAAAACGCCTCTTTTCTGACGCATTACGTTCCCCTTTTAAGGACTTCGCCGTTCGAACTGAGCCGGCGTTAAACTTAATCCTTGCTTCCGTCCTTGTCAGAACCAGTTAAAGCCGTGACCAGCTCTATCTTTACATTATATGCGTCTCGCTTTGTGAAGCGTCCGCATCCTGCTAATGGCCGCAATGTTTTTCGAAGGCTAGCCCGAAATTTCTTAAACAACAAAAAGTAAATGATTGGATTGTAACAAGCCGCTGTTTTGGCAAAAATGGCTGGTAAGCTTGCTACCAAAGGGGAGATAATCGGTTTCGGCACTCTTATGACGGCGTATAGCGAAACCATTGCATACGGTGTCCATGCAAATATGAAGCAAAGTGACATTATGAATGCCATGCGCGAAGTTTTGGACTCTCCTTGAACTGCTTCCAGAGTGGGCGCAGCGTTTTCCCCCCACAGGTCATGCGCATTTTGCGAGATCTTTTTTACGGTGTGGTAAATAGAGTAATATGCTGTCGCCATGGTCACAATGGGCCCGACAAAGAAGAAAAAGAAGATACAAGCTATGAAAGCAATATTTCCTGGATCAGAAGATTGCCAGTGAATCGAGCAAAGCAAGCCCGCTCCCTCAGGAGCGTAGGCCGACCATCCGGCCAGAGGGAATGTGCTCCAAAGCAAGGCAAACATCCACAGTCCAATGATAACGAAACGGAGTTTTCGCTCAATGGAAACCGAGGCTACGGAGTATCTTATTACAGCAGCTCGCTCGATGGCGAAGGTGGCGTGGTGCAGAATTACGCCGAATGATAAGAATGCTGTGATGAAGGCGTACCACAAACAACTGGCATGGTTGGATTGCCAATCCTTTGACACATTCGCGAGAATTCCAAAGGGGTAAGCCAGAAGCGCATGGAGCCAATCACCGACAGCCATGCTTAGAATAAGTTTGTTAGAGTGTGTTCGAAGACTTCGGTCGCTTCGAAAGGTGACCAACACGAGCGTGTTAAGACTGAACGCTGTGAATGTGAGGAGCGCATACACGCCAGCGAAGATGTAATGCGTCTGCTCACTAAGTGATTCTGCAGTTCCTTGTTCTTCACTTTTGTCTGACATCCTGAATTTGAACACAATACGTCTCTGTATACGAGAAAGAAATAGAGTAATTAACAACACGTTCATCATGACGGTGGGTAAAGGTAAGGTAAAGTCTGCATACGAGCCAAGTGGCCCATCAGGCCGGAGCTTATCCCGGTTTCTGTAGCATGAANATGAAGGATAAGAAGGAAAAAAAGATAAGCAAATTAAAAGTAAACCTGCGAAATAAGGTGTTAATGTAGATTTAAATTAGGTTTCTTTTAATTTAATAATTTATAGATGGATACCAAATTACCCTATCCCCAACCTGAGGTGTTCTCGTCCCAGAGCATTCATTTGCCTCGTCATTTTTTAAAGCTATATTCTTATTTCTTAATATATTGTTTTACATATTTTTCTATTTCATCCCCCTTTCGACTTTCATCCAGTTGCAGTTGCGATAAAAATTAAACCAGACTCCGATCAGTCCTTGACTTAAAATGCTATAAGCTTGCGAGGAAACGGAACACGAGCTAAATATCGCTCTCAGAATTTGGTTAAAATCTTCTCAATGGCAAATGTTTGTACTAATAGGAAGGTGACAAGCTTCTCGAGTACACTTCATCTTCAGAATGTTATAAACTCCTCGCGTCTTGATTTGTTACTTTCCCCGCCCGGCAATATCAACAAACTGAGAAAATTACTCTGAAGAAGCAACAGACACTGGTTACAACGTTTAACTGCAAAGTCGTGAAAGTGAAGACCATTCGCAAATAGTCCCAAAATTTGTATGTACCTTCAATTGTTGCTCCAGATTTGACCCAGAAGAGGGACTCTTCACACAAGTATACGGTACAGAATCGGAAATCATCCGAACTTATAGCATTTAATTTTTTTAAGTAATATTTTGACTAAATGATGCAAATTGCTGGCGCTTCAGAACTAAATGAAAAGCGCTTTTGGCAATATCCAGAATCTTGACGAATGTGCACAAAGAAAAAGCAATTAAGCTTGAACCTCATGAATATCGGCTATATATTACTTCATTTTATATTACCGAAGACAATTAAAAAACTTTTCAAAAACTCCGAGCTGAAATCAACATGGCTGACCGCAGCAACGCGACTGGTAAAGCAGACATTCACGAAAATTGAGAAATAACATCGGCTTTGCTTTTAAAATCTTTCCTCTTGCTGTTATAAGATTCGACCATGTTAAACCGTTTTTTTCCTGATGGAATTTTGTTGGGCGAAGAGGTTGTTTTTTCCTCTGTCTCGTTGTGATGACAAGTTTTACAATCTCCTAACTCGTCATTAATATTTTTGATTAATCCTTTTACACTGATCTGTTTTTACGTGATCACGAAATGGATTTCAGCACTTCAGCCAGGATTGTTTTTCCTTCATCCCACGCCGCCGACAACTCTTAATGGTGTTTTCTCGGGACTTACCGAATATTTGTAACAATTAAAAAGAACTTAGCGTGTGTAATATTTGCATGAAAAGTGGCCTTTAAAATGTGATTAGAAATTTAAAAAATTCACGCATTTTCTTAGTTCAACGTTGAATTAATCCATGCATAAGCAGCCTTGAAAAGGTATTATTTTGAAACTTTGCTTTTTGTCAGTGCAAAACAATTTTGTCCAAGTTGACAATCGATTAACTGTCTGGCTACGATGATATGTGTGTTTTGATAATAAGCACTGCATAATAATAACAAAAAATTTAAACCATGCATTTCAATATTACTACCTTATCTGACGGCCATTAAGGGTAATGTTGCTTTTAAGTCCTGAAACTTCATTCAGTCAAAACAGATTTCTGTATTGACTGATAACAATGCAATCATCTATTTTTATTTTTAAATTTAAAAATCAATTTCAATATTCCGTGTGTACACCGCATAGATAATAAATAAATAAAGAAGAATTTGCACTAGTACATCGTGCAGAGAATCCCTTCGTCCACTGTTTCAAGATAGCATTTGAATTTAGGAGTGCTGGTTTTTGTGGAAGGAGGAAAAGCGGAGAACGCGAAGAAAAATTTATCGGAACAAGGTGAGAACCAAAAACAAATTCAACCCACTTCTATGTCGACGGGTCCAGAATTCGAACCTAGGCCACGTATGTGGGAGCAAGTGTTCTCACCACTGCGGCATCTGTTCTCGCCATAGGTTGATTTGAATAATAATTATTTTTTGTTAATTTGTTTGCTTTGTTGAATGAAGCTAAATAGTTCGGAAAACCGACATTAAAAGAGAACGGCAAATATAAAGAACTGCGCCTGTAAATGCAGTTGATTTAAAGGAAACAAACTTTAAATTGAGGGAAACCTGAATATAACAATTTACTAAGATAGGAAAACACTGAAGGGTAAACCATAAAGGGACTAGGATGGCTAAGGATGGAGAAGACTGACACGGATTACAAACTTGAAAAATTTAGGCTAAACTTTTCAAGACTTGCAAATCGTGAAGTAGTTCCTTTAAATCATTGACATTAGCATATTAAAAACGTGAAATTTGAAAGGTGAACAGCAGGATACTCTTTGGAACACGATAAGCGACAACGCTTCATAGTCGCCACTTTGTCGGGTGGAACAAAAGCAATAGAAGACGACTGCAGACAGGCTACTCAAGCTATCGCAGTGTCTATTAATCTGTGGACAAACTGTCGATAGGGCATTATCTTCTCCCTCTTTAACACACAGGTGGTATGATCTCTTTAAATACGAGAAAACGTAATGACCGTACTAAACAGAAACTTATCTACACTTAAAAGGAACTTTTCAAACTCGTTAATAATTCATCAAGTTGTATGGCTCCGTCCACACTATACCGGAAAAAAATTGAAAACGCAGCTTTATTTCCACCGTTAGGCCTACCGTCCATACTAATCTGTCACGAAAACGGAGCTCTTCGAAAACGCTCTTAATCAAAACAGGAGGAATTTGTAAACGCTGGATTCACCTTTTGGTGTGGACCGAAAACTTTTTGAAAACAGAGCTTTTCCAAAATGACCGGATCCGGTAAGCGTTGTGTTTTGAACCCTCCTCTCGGTGTTTGGAAAGGCGAGCAAGGTCTTTCGTGATTGATGTACTACTTGAAAGCTTGCTTGTGACCAAATTTATAAGTAGCGAAGTTAGCTTCAAGTAAACTGCAGCTCAAAACAATATTGGTACCAAGTGCCACAGCGTTGCCAAGTTTACCTAAAAAAACATCGACTGTAAGGGGTGTTTACTTGGAAAACTTTAGCCTTACTATAATTTTAGCCCCGGCTGCAACAATTTCTTCCTGGAGGCCGCCATCTTGTTTCATTGTCACCACGCATGTCCAAGTTTCCTTCTCCTGAAGTGAAGTGAAGTGAAGTGAAGTGAAGTGAAGTCTGCCTCAAATCAGTCTGAATTTCAGCCTGCAGTGAACTTTTCCCATGTAATTACTCAATTCAAGATCATTTCAAAAACGGGATCAAATTCACCATCTGATCATTCATTTTCTTTTCACCTTGCTTTCGTCTGCCTGAAATTGTCTCCAACACCGACAAATGCCGGAAGAAATCTACTTGAAAAAAAAAAAAACTATGTTTTGCTTTTAGCGGGAACCAATAAGATTCCTTGTTTTCATCGTCAACAAGCTCGCCATATGATAAATTTACTTCTTATCTGAAACTGTCGATCGTTGCTTTTTAACCGGATTGCTTTTGTGCATGTTTCTTTAGACCCCATCGACGCCATGAGAAGCTCCGTTCAAGATGTCGTGACAAATACTACCCAGAAAGGAGCATTTACCTTCCGGGTAGCGCTGAAGGACCGCTTTAACAACTCCATCAGAATCACTGACAACAAGAAACATGCAAAGATATCAGTGCAGTATTCTTCCTATACTCAACCCCAGTCAATGACGTTTCTCCAGTGCTCCACAACGCCAACAACTACCGGAGATGGAGATGCCTTTGTGTTAAATTGCGCTGGAGCTGAAAAAGAACGAATCTTGTTTTATCCTTCGATAAACAATGTGCCACTTGGAGGACAAGAGAAATATGAAGCTCGAACTACCTTATGTCCAGGAAGAAGCAGTTGCGACATTCAAGGTACACTGTAATAACGCATTTCTGTCACTCTCTGTGTGTCAAAAGTAATCCAGTCGAATTTCCCCCATTTTTGATTCGTTTCCTGGAAAGTTCGACGATACTATCATTTAGCTCTTATCGTCGGTTTGATTGTTTTTAAGCCAGCTTTTGATAGTTTTTTCACTTTTCATAAATATATTTCATGAAATGCAAAATTATTTTTGTTGCTGTTGTTGTTGTTTATTTCGTTTATTTTTTTCTTTTTCTTTTTCTTTTTGTTTTTTTTGCTTTTCGTTAAGGACCTCAGAGGAAATAATTTTTCGTGGACGTGCTTTAAACATTTCAAGTTTGATTGTCAAAGCTTTAATATAGAGTTACCGAGTAAAAGCTTCCATAGCCCCTAGGGCTAAAGGGGTACAAGCAGTACAAGAGCTCTTCTGACCGTTCTTTGTTTTCACTTGCTTTTACACCCTTATTTCATGCACAGAGAAGTCGACGTCGTTACCACTGGTTCTTCCACTTGCTTGCGGAGGGGTTGCTCTGTTGATTTTAGTGGTGGTTGCAGTGCTGTGTTTTGTTCGACGTCGCAGTGAAGAATTTGTATTCGAAAAGAAACTGAGGGAATTCCAGAAGAGAAAGAAGTCAGAAAAAATGGAGGTTCTGCGGCCTGAGAATGACTCGGCCGATGACCCTACGGTACGGTAGCTAGAGTCGTTATCACAGTTGGTTGGGACACTAGGCTCAAAGTCATGATCAGTGGGCCATGTCTAAGGTCCTTCCTTCATCTTAAATAGGGCTCTAAACATACTTTCCGTTTTCGCAAGTGCTTAGGGAAACACAACGAGTGAACTTGACAATGATTTATCTGGGATAATCATGGTAACAAAGAGATAATCAAATAGGCGTTTAAAAAAATTGTTTAATTGCTGGCAAAGTTATTATTCGTTTTTTTTCCCAAGCAGAAAGATTCTCAACTTCTTCAATAACATTCGAATCGTTATATCATGTTATAGAGACCCAAGAGAAAATGAAGGGTAATTAATAAGAGAGTTAAGATAAGTGCCCAGTTCTGCCGGAAATAATGCCACCAGGCACTTCGCGTGGATGTTTTCATAGTCGATGGAAACATCGGTGATTTCCATTTGAGGAAAATTTCGGTTCGAATTTCCTGAAATTTCCAGCAGCGGATGCGACAGCATTTTTAGGAATTTCTAGACATTTGAGAACGCTTTCCATTCAACATAAATTTCCAGAGTTTTCGAAACGTACGACTGCACAAGGTACGTCACATTTCCTGGAAAAGTTGATGAATTGGTAAATTTACGAAATGAGAATCATTCAAACGAAAATCCCGGAAATTCGGGGGGGGGGGGAGGGGACATATTTCGGTGGGAAAATTTCGAAAGTTGGGGTACACATAGCGAAGTTTCCCTTTCACCCAGGAATTCCGGGAAAATATCGTTTCATTCACCACTACAAATTCCTGAAGTATGTGCCCCAAATTTTCGAAAAATCGTTGCCGAGAATTTCCTTTCCATTTGATTTTTCTCTCTTAATCTCCGAAATTTTTGGTTGAATAGTGTGCATTTGGGAAACTCAATAATTTTCGGATTTTCCGAAAACTTTTCAAGCTGAAATTTCCGTACCAGTTGCTCGCGTTTCAAAACTTCTAGATTTTTTTTGGTTGAATGGAAAGCATCCTACTGATGACTAAAGCTGCCTAGACTGTCCACATGAGCAAAACATCTGTTTCACAGCGGTGACAATTTTTCGGACCCTCCTAAGATTTTCGAAACCGCGAGTCGTCTATAAGTAGCTCGATAAGGATAACCTTGGGGGATTAACTCACCTTTCATTATAATCAGTTCATCCTCTCTTTTAGGAAAATACAGTGGAGGGCTGAGGGTTTTATTGACTTGTTTTACTTGAATTTTTTTCGTAGAGTCAACTAGTCAAGCTCACAGCGTTTTATCCTCAATTGGATCATCAACAACAGCAAAGTGGTGCCGAGCGCAGATATGAAGGGACACAATCTGCAAGGCCTTCAGATGTTTCAGATGTTTCACCGGAACTTAGTTTGGAGCAACGGGAAGGGAGTGGATAATAATCACACGGACACAAAAAAGAACGAATGAATGTAAAAATGTTTTCTTGAAATAGACCATTTTACAGTTGTCTGCTTGGTGACCTGGGCTTTGAATGGCAGCAAGGCTGGAGGTGACCTTGCTTTGCTACAGACCTCTCTGTTTTTGTCATGTAAATGCACCTAGTTAGTATTAAAACAACTTGATGTACACAACAAAAGCAGTTAGGTCTGTATCAAAACAAGGTCATCTCCAGCCTCGCTGCCATTCAAAGGCCAGGTCACTGGGCAGACAACTGTATAATGGTCTACTGTCCGTGGTACCATGAGAGTCACACGACATGACATTGAGTGAGAAACTCACGGTAATATTTAGGTGTCTAATCCAAAAAAAGCAATCCCCAAATAAAATTAAACAAAAAATAAAATAAAATAATAACCATATTCATAAAAAAGATTGAGGATAGTGCTCAGATCTGGTCAAGATTAGACGGCCTAAAGCTCAATGCGCTCCGTTAAGCATAAAACGTTAAGTTCCAGGCTATCCATAACAATTTTCGGATCACATTTTATTATGCTACATTCTAGCTCACGTGAGTTGAAGTTTTTCCTTACACGGTATGGTACGTAAAATATCTGTAATCGGTTAAGATTTCGTAAAGTTTATTTCCATCAGGAAGGTAGAAGATGTCCCTACTAACTTCAACCGTTAACAACTTTTAAAACATGCAAGTAGAAGCTGCCAAACTTTTTCACTCTTTCTGAAATTAGCATGTGAAATATTTCCTATGACGTGTTACTGTTAGTACATAAGAACTCTTTTTCCTGTAGTTATGGGAATTTTTCTTGGACAATTCTGTCCAAGGGGGAAAGGTGCAATGAGGTTAACCCTGTGTGAAACACCAACCCGTGAGACAAAGCCAGTGCCCTACTCTTTTCGATAAGTGTGTGGGTTCGTTAACGTCCCCTGCTAACCATGGATTAGATGGATCCTAATGGAAATTGTTTACCTTATCTTTTTGTTATCCTTTACCTTTGAATTAGCAGCTGCCATCTCGAATGCTCTGCTACTTTGGCTGCTGCACAGGCATTTAAAAGTGATTATTTTTCTTAGTTTTACAACCTGTATTTGTTTTCTACTGACATGTGTATTTTTTCATTTCTTTCAAAGTGATATAGTGTGGTATGGTAGTGGCAATGGTATGAATAAAGGTTACATTTGATTTGTACTCAGAAATTGATGTTCTCTAGGCAACCATATAATTTTTATAAGCATGTTTCTTATCTTTGGAATTTTCTTGTTTTAATTAACAAAACGTAATTTTCATGTATTCAATTTTACATTTCTAGAACTTTTAGCATTGTTTCATTGATATTAATAGCTTTTTGAGACAGTTAACAACACAAACGTTGGTTTTTTGTTGGTTAAGCCGATGTATGTGCCGTTACCATGACAACATGAATAAATATAAACAGGCCTTTAAAATCGGTTTTGTTTATTTGTAGAAAATCTAGTCATTAGATTTTCTTTACAATTTGCATGCAACAAGCTTGTAACGATTCTCACAAGTTAACACCATTTTGCTAATAATTTAACAGAGATCTTTAATCATTCCTTGTTGAAGGTTCACTGGAATATCTAGAATTTCCTTCGTTAAAGTTTTTCAATACTCCAGTTACTTATTTCCTGAAATATTTTCGTGCCAAATTTCGTGAAATTCTAATGAGTGTTTCGAGAAATAGGAGTATTTCCGAGAGTGCAATTTTTTATCCAATCGCAGTTTTTTGACTTACTACGCATGCACTGCATTTAGCTGGGTTCTTTCGGTAACAAAGAAAAAGCTGAGAATTGTTAGGTTCTTTGCATCGTTACTTTTTCTAACATATCTTTGTAATAAACGACTAAAGCCATGAATACAGTGCTCAGTTATAGAGAAAACTAGCGCAGATAGAGCGGGTGTTGACTAAATAAATGATCGCTCTATTGACGGCATGTTTTTTTTTTTTTTTTTTTTTTTTTT